GTGACTAGGGATGAGCGAATCGAACCAGGCGAAGTGGAATTCGTTTCGAATTTCAGGAAAAATTTGATTCGCGGCGAATCCGAATATTAGCATACTTCGGGTGCGCGAATCGGATTTTTCCCGATCAGCCGGCAAAAGTGTCCCTGCAGAGAGCTCCGCTATTTCTGACAGTTCTCTGACAGTTCCTTCACATTTACAGCGGTTGAAACATTGTATCTATTTGTTTCCATTTAGGATACAGATGTTTTTATTCGGAAACAGATACAATGTTTCAACCGCTGTAAATGTGAAGGAACTGTCAGAGAACTGTCAGAAATAGCGGAGCTCTCTGCAGATACACTTTTTGCTGTACTTCTTCTTCATGAAAAGAAGAATGAGAAGAAGAATGAGAAGAATGAAAAGAAGAAGAAGAATGAAAAGAAGAATGAGAAGAAGAATGAGAAGAATGAAAAGAAGAATGAGAAGAATGAAAAGAAGAATGAAAAGAAGAAGAAGAAGAATGAAAAGAAGAATGAAAAGAAGAAGAAGAATGAAAAGAAGAATGAAAAGAAGAATGAGAAGAATGAAAAGAAGAATGAAAAGAAGAAGAAGAATGAAAAGAAGAATGAGAAGAATGAAAAGAAGAATGAGAAGACGAATGAAAAGAAGAATGAAAAGAAGAATGAGAAGAATGAAAAGAAGAAGAATGAAAAGAAGAAGAGGAATGAAAAGAAGAATGAAAAGAAGAAGAAGAAGAATCTTTTCATTCTGCTCATTCTTCTTTTCATTCTTCTTTTCATTCTCTTCTTCTTCTTTTCATTCTTTTCTTTTCATTCTTCTTCTTCTTTTCATTCTTCTTCTTCTTTTCATTCTTCTTTTCATTCTTCTTCTTCTTTTTTTCATTCTTCTCATTCTTCTTTTCATTCTTCTCATTCTTCTCTTCTTATTTTCATTCTTCTTCTTCTTCTTTTCATTCTTCTCTTCTTTTCATTCTTCTTTCTTCTTTTTCATTCTTCTTCTTCTTCTTTTCATTCTTCTTTTCATTCTTCTTCTTCTTCTTTTCATTCTTCTTTTCATTCTTCATTCTTCTTTTCATTCTTCTTTTCATTCTGCTTTTCATTCTTCTTCTCATTCTTCTTCATTCATTTTCATCTTCTTCTTTTCATTCTTCTTTTCATTCTTCTCATTCTTCTTTTCTTCTTCATGAAAAGAAGAATGAGAAGAAGAATGAAAAGAAGAATGAAAAGAAGAATGAGAAGAAGAAGAAAAGAAGAAGATGAAAAGAAGAATGAAAAGAAGAATGAAAAATGAAGAAGAAGAATTGAGAAGAAGAATGAAAAGAAGAATGAGAAGAATTAAAAGAAGAATGAAAAGAAGAAGAATGAAAAGAAGAATAAGAATGAAAAGAAAAGAAGAATGAAAAGAAGAAGAAGAATCTTTTCATTCTTCTCATTCTTCTTTTCATTCTTCTTCTTCTTTTCATTCTTCTTCTTCTTCTTCTTTTCATTCTTCTTCTTCTTTTCATTCTTCTTTTCATTCTTCTTCTTTTCATTCTTCTTTTCTTCTTTTCATTCTTCTTCTTCTTCTTTTCATTCTTCTTCTTCTTCATTCTTCTTCTTTTCATTCTTCTTCTTTTTTCATTCTTCTTCTTCTTCTTTTCATTCTTCTTCTTCTTCTTTCATTCTTCTTTTCATTCTTCTTCTTCTTTTTCTTTTCATTCTTCTTCTTCTTCTTCTTCTTTTCATTCTTCTTCTTCTTTTCATTCTTCTTTTCATTCTTCTTCTTCTTTTCATTCTTCTTCTTCTTCTTTTCATTCTTCTTCTTCTTCTTTTCATTCTTCTTTTCATTCTTCTTCTTCTTCTTCTTCTTTTCATTCTTCTTCTTCTTCTTCTTTTCATTCTTCTTTTCATTCTTCTTCTCATTCTTCTTCTCTTTTCATTCTTCTTCTTCTTCTTTTCATTCTTCTTTTCCTTCTTCTTTTCATTCTTCTTCTTCTTCTTCTTTCTTCTTTTCATTTTTCTTCATTCTTCTTTTCATTCTTCTTCTTCTTCTTTTCATTCTTCTTTTCATTCTTTCTTTTCTTCTTCATGAAAAGAAGAATGAAAAGAAAGAATGAGAAGAATGAAAAGAAGAAGAAGAATGAAAAGAAGAATGAAAAGAAGAATGAGAAGAATGAAAAGAAGAATGAAAAGAAGAAGAAGAAGAATGAAAAGAAGAAGAAGAATGAAATGAAAAGAAGAATGAAAAGAAGAAGAATGAAAAGAAGAATGAAAAGAAGAATGAAAAGAAGAATGAGAAGAATGAAAAGAAGAATGAAAAGAAGAAGAAAGAATGAAAAGAAGAAAATGAAAGAAGAAGAATGAAAATAAGAATGAAAAAGAATGAAAAGAAGAATGAGAAGAATGAAAAGAAGAAGAAGAAGAATGAAAAGAAGAAGAAGAATGAAAAGAAGAATGAAAAGAAGAAGAAGAAGAAGAATCTTTTCATTCTTCTCATTCTTCTTTTCATTCTTCTTCTTCTTCCTTCTTTCATTCTTCTTCTTCTTTTCATTCTTCTTTTCATTCTTCTTTCTTCTTCTTTTCATTCTTCTTCTTCTTCTGAGGATGAGGATGAAGAAGAAGAAGAAGAAGTAGGATGAAAATAAGAAGAAATTTCCAAGCCGGCAAAAAGTGTATCTGCAGAGCTCCGCTAAGTGTATCTGCAGAGCTCCGCTATTTCTGACAGTTCTCTGACATTCACTCCATACAGCGGTTGAAACATTGTATCTATTTGTTTCCATTTATGGAAACAAATAGATACAATGTTTCAACCGCTGTATGGAGTGAATGTCAGAGAACTGTCAGAAATAGCCTATTTCTGACAGTTCTCTGACATTCACTCCATACAGCGGTTGAAACATTGTATCTATTTGTTTCCATAAATGGCGGAGCTCTGCAGATACACTTTTTGCCGGCTTGGAATTCTTCTTATTTTCATCCTACTTCTTCTTCTTCTTCTTCTTCATCCTCATCCTCATCCTCAGAAGAAGAAGAAGAGGATGAGGATGAAGAAGAAGAAGAAGAAGAAGTAGGATGAAAATAAGAAGAATTCAAAGCCGGCAAAAAAGTGTATCTGCAGATCTCCGCTAAGTGTAATCTGCAGACAGTTCTCTGACATTCACTCATCATACAGCGGTTGAAACATTGCATTGAACTGTCAGAAATAGCGGGAGCTCTGCAGATACACTTAGCGGGAGCTCTTCTTATTTTCATCCTACTTTTTGAAATAGCGGAGCTCTGCAGATACACTTAGCGGAGCTCTTCTTATTTTCATCCTACTTCTTCTTCTTCTTCATCCTCATCCTCAGAAGAAGAAGAAGAGGATGAGGATGAGGATGAAGAAGAAGAAGAAGTAGGATGAAAATAAGAATTCCAAGCCGCAAAAAGTGTATCTGCAGAGCTCCGCTAAGTGTATCTGCAGAGCTCCGCTAAGAAATAGCGGAGCTCTGCAGATACACTTTTTGCCGGCTTGGAATTCTCCTTCTTCTCATCCTTCTTCTTCTTCTCATCCTTCTTCTTCTTCTCATCCTTCTCCTTCTTCTCATCCTTGATCTTCTTCTTCTCATCCTTCTTCTTCTTCTCATCCTTCTTCTTCTTCTCATCCTTCTTCTTCTTCTCATCCTTCTTCTTCTTCTCATCCTTCTCCTTCTTCTCATCCTTCTTCTTCTTCTCATCCTTCTTCTTCTTCTCATCCTTCTCCTTCTTCTCATCCTTCTTCTTCTTCTCATCCTTCTTCTTCTTCTCATCCTTCTCCTTCTTCTCATCCTTCTCTTCTTCTCCTCATCCTTCTTCTTCTCCTCCTCTCTTCTTCTTCTTCCTTCTTCTCATCCTTCTCCTTCTTCTCATCCTTCTCCTTCTTCTCATCCTTCTCTTCTTCTCATCCTTCTCCTTCTTCTCATCCTTCTCCTTCTCCTTCTTCTCATCCTTCTCCTTCTTCTCATCCTTCTCCTTCTCCTTCTTCTCATCCTCTCCTTCTCCTTCTTCTCATCCTTCTCCCTTCTCCTTCTTCTCATCCTTCTCCTTCTCCTTCTTCTCATCCTTCTCCTTCTTCTCATCCTTCTCCTTCTTCTCATCTTCTCCTTCTTCATCCTTCTCCTTCTTCTCATCCTTCTCCTTCTCATCCTTCTCATCTTCTCCTTCTTCTTCTTCTCATCCTTCTTCTTCTTCTCATCCTTCTCCTTCTTCTCATCCTTCTTCTTCTTCTCATCCTTCTTCTTCTCATCCTTCTCCTTCTTCTCATCCTTCTTCTCATCCTTCTCCTTCTTCTCATCCTTCTTCTCATCCTTCTCCTTCTTCTCATCCTTCTCCTTCTTCTCATCCTTCTCCTTCTTCTTCTTCTCATCCTTCTCCTTCTTCTCATCCTTCTCCTTCTCCTTCTTCTCATCCTTCTCCTTCTTCTCATCCTTCTCCTTCTTCTCATCCTTCTCCTTCTTCTCTTCCTTCTCCTTCTCCTTCTCCTTCTCCTTCTTCTCATCCTTCTCCTTCTTCTCATCCTTCTCCTTCTTCTCATCCTTCTCCTTCTCCTTCTTCTCATCCTTCTCCTTCTCCTTCTCCTTCCGACGATATCATTTCTTTAAATAATACATGCACATTTTTTGCCAGTAGGACCTTTACTTTTAACCATACACTATAACATTCTTGCATGCAGATCACAAAGGTTAGAGCTCTGATTGTGATAACAGCTGCAGAATTCTACCACTATATTTGATTATGAATATTATTAACTCGTAAAATATCTTTTATATGATTTGTGCTGCTCGGTCACTACACAAAAGGGCAATAAATATACACCATATTAGAAACTGCTAGATTACCTGAAAGAATTTAAATGCCATTATGACACACACAGATCAATAATACTGGAATTGATAATTAATTCTATTGTGAGGTGTTTTATGCTCTCCCATTCAACTTGATAAAACAGCCTGACTGAAATTACAAAGTTTTCTTGGCTTTATGTTAAGATGCAGAGGTTTCTTGCAGGTGACAAACGCTAAAACAGAGACAACGCTCAAGTGGTCTGTGGACAAGAAACCACTTCCTAATGGGCAATTTGATAACCAAACTGGGTCAGGGACACTTGTAATTAAAAAGGTAAGTTCAAGGGAAGGAAACACTGCACAGCAAACACAGCAACAGTTATCTTATTAAATATATTATACAAACAGCTGTATTACACTTATCAGATTGCTAGGCTTTACCGGGGGGGGCTGCAATCAGAAATTTGCCAGGAAATTCTTAAATGTTTTTTCCCAGCTGCATTACACATGTGATTAGCCATTTGCACAAAGTACACTCCTGATTACTACCTTGGGGACAAACAGCTATTGGCCAACAATAAAACATTGTTACCCCCACAAACACGCATACCCAACACTTAGATGATGTGCACTTTTTTCACTTAGCCAAGGAAATCTGTCTTCCCTTCAAATACCCACTTATGCACAGTGGAATGTAAATATATGTAAAGCTAAAACCTACTTTTTACTTTTGAATAGAGTGCGGAATGATTGGAACACCTTTCAGGTTTTTTATTGCTGTCAGGTGTTTCTCTTGTCTACAAAGTTAAAAAAAAAAAAAAGTTTGGGCTGTAGGCACACTTTTATAAATATGGATTTGATTTTTCAAACCAAACGTAGATTGATTGAGCTAGGGGCACCCAAAGTCATAGGCTGATATGGCTTTCTATGGACACTAGTTCTAGGGCCTCTTCAGACAACTCCAGGGGAAGTAATAATTGGCTGTGTTAGACCAATCTAGTTTCCACTAATTGTGTTGGTTTACCTCAGAATCTGAGAATACTTAAAGCCCAATTGAAGCCTTCCTAGTCACACTGAAATGCAACAACTGATGGCTGGAGAGTCGGACCACTACTCTCACAAACAAGCAGTGGCCAGGGTCTGACAATCCCCCCTGCATGCTGCTCCAGCAGGGACGCTCAGGGAGCCAGAGCACTGTTGATTGGAGCAGTATGCAGGAAGGAGTGTCAGAATGCGGAGACCCTGACCATTGGCTGTGTGTGAGAGTAGGGGTCCGACTCACCAGTGTGATGCTAAATATTTTAACCCTTATATTTGTAGCGAAAAATACAATAAAAAGCATATTTCTAATGCAATGTGACATAATTATAGTTAAAATATGGACGCTTCAGTTGGGCTCCAAGGAAAGATCCTTTTGTATTTCAATTATCCATCAAAAAAATCACACCATTAATGTTTAGTAGTAGAGATAATGAAAAAATGACATTCAATTATTTCCTCAATTTCTATGCCCATGTTTGGCAGATTTTGCTTAAGATTCAATATGTATGTAATTATACCTAGTTTACAAATGAAGATAAAGGACTTTACAAAGCTGTGGTAAAAGATAGCAGGGGAGAGGACACAACTGAATTGGATCTTATCAATGAAGGTAGGTGATGATCATCAGTCAGCAGAAGGCTATGTAAGTTTATTTGTTGTGCACCTTCAAGGAAATGGTTTTATCTTTTTCATGTATTACATGGAATATTTACCTATTTATTTTATGTATTATGCAGAATTATGACAAATTATTACTTTCTAAATGAACGTACAGTATTTTATTGCAGACTATACTGTATACTATAAAATGAAGTATATAATATTATATTGAACAGAATAGAGTCCATCATTGTGACTGTTGCTCTGGGAGAGGTAATCCATTTTTGGGTTCCCTAGCAATGTATTTTCCCAGTGTTGATGTGTTCTTTTTAGTTTTAAAATATTTTAGCAACAAAAAAAACTTATAAAACTACACGTTTCACACTTTGGAGTACCCCAACAACACATTTGCTGTTCTTAAGACCAGCACATTGATTTGTGGCATTTGATGGGTTACAAATTAAAAAACAGTGAATGCTACAAGCAGATGTACAACAAATATGGCACCTGGAAATGCGTGGTAATTCTGTTAGAAATATGGCCCTTGGACCGCGAATGAGAGACATTCTTTTATTATATATACAGTACATAATCAATCCTGGAAACCATAGGACCCAATGGATTTACACATACTGCTGATCTCTCTGTCAGCTTTGGAAGCCAGAATTCCTTACGGTGCACTGAGTAGATGAAATACTTTTGTATTTGTTAATCCGTTTTACTTTTTTCCCTACACAAACTAATCTTAGAAATCTCCTTTTATTTTGATAATTTCTTCCATTGTCTTCACTTTTTATCTTTTTTAGGGTTTGAAGATATAATGAAAGAAATTTGTAGAATAAGTGGTAAGTGTTTAAACACAGCATAGAATAATGGGACTGTAAAGCCCCGCACACATGATCAGAATATTGGATGAATGATCGTCCGGGTTTTTTTTTTGCATGCTAGTCTCCATATAGAAAATTAAGAGGTTACTAAAGTTACAAAAATTCTCGTGCAACAGAATAAACATTTGGAAGTGATGTAATGTATTGTGTTTGTATTGTATTTTTGGACAAAAACTGTACTGATTGAACGAAAATTGTATGATTTGGTATTATACAAGAAAAAATTTCTTGCTTGTCCCTTCAAATAATTTTGGATGAAAGCTGTATACTAATGATCTATCGTACGATCACTTCAAAAGTGGTATTTTTCGTATGATTTTCTATTCTCTAAATATCCTTGTTATTTAATAGGTCTAGTCCCCTTCCTCTGTCATTCGCCTAAGCGAATGATGTAGATCTCTCACTCTTGATGACTCCTAGGATGTTATTGTCACAAATCCTAGGTTTTTAAAATATTTGATTAGCATGAGATTTACATGTGATGGGAGGAGGGCAGAGGAGGGTGGAGAAAGACAGTGGAGGGCAGAGACAGGCAGAGACTGTCAGAGGAAGGCAGAGACAGGTGGACATGTTGTGTCTGTAGTTTGTGAGATTTGGCACTGCAGAGGGCAGAGAAGAGGCTGCATTTCCCAAGATAAGAACAGGCAATGGTTTCAGATGCCCTCACTATCAGGCCCTGTGCTCCACTTTTAAACTCAGGTGGCCAGAACATTTTTCAAATTTTCCATTGCTTTTTTTTTCCCCTCACTACTTTCAGAGTTTGTAAATGACCCCCCAAACCATACATTTTCTGAAAGCATAGAACCAGGAGAATAAACAAAAGGTCTTACTGATTTTTTAGGCATAGTGACTTTTGTGCAAATGTTTATTTAAATGTTTGCTAAAAATATACTAAAATAATTATTAGTGGACAAAAATATAGCAAAATATACAAAATTCTACCTAAATTTTTACTAAATATAAAATCTAAAACTGTATTGAGTTAATAAATAACAAGTATTTGTACATTTTAAATTGTGCCCTTTTGTAAAATAGTGTAAAATTGTACATAAGCAATTTATTTTAAAAATATGGACATTATCATTTTAATGTGCAGCTGAGTTTATAAAAGACCCCCCAAACCATAAAGGTTTTGAAAGCACATGACCTATAGAATAAAACATTTGCTACTGATTTTTTTAGGACCCGCAACATTCGTCCAAATATTTATCAATTCACTATTTTCGGTAAAAATACACTAAAATCGGGGTCGCGTGGCTTGGCCGCATTTAAAGATGGTTGCATGCTAGTGGAGCTCCGGTTCTGATGGGAGAATCCAGCTGCTATCCGGTGATATTTTGGCGAGAAAAGTCGGAAGGTACCTGCCCACAACCAAGACGCCCCATTCCCAAGTTACCAGAGATTTTTCGCACACAACCAACTGATCCGCCACAAGGCTACTTGGGCTTGTCTTTGGGCCTGCCTCAGGACGCTCTCCTGCGACGGACCACAATCTGGCAAGTGACTCCTTGCTCTTCTCACTTATGCAACAAATCCCTAAGATGTCGGATCTTCAGGGTATTTTGTTATGTGCTCTAGATTGGTGTCAGTTAGCCTGCTTTGCCCTAGCATAATGAGTGGAATGCGCCATTATAGGCCATGATTATATGCTTAGGCTGATGTACATATCTGTACATGTGTTTATTTTATGCCAGACCTCTTTATGTGCTATGGTGGTGTGTGGGGTTTGCTTCCCCCCCCCCCCATGGTGGGGACTGTTAGCAGGGGCATCGGGAACTCATGGGGGAGTGTCCCCCTGAGAGACCATGTGCAGGTATCGCTTTGTGACCTCCTTGTAGACGTAGGGCTCTGGTTGGGGGGAGAAGGGTCTTCCCTGTCCGGGGGGGCTCCCCTCGGGGGGGGCGCATGCGCCAGAAGCTGTATGAGCGGTGGTGCGACCCTCGGCAATGGGAGCCCTGAGGGGCGGCCTGGCAGGTGTGGGGCTGGGTTCCTTAAGGGCTATATCCCTGCGCATGTGTTCACTTACATATCCGACCTATGTGATCTGTCTCCCTTCCCTTTTTATTTTCATTATCCTAAGTACTGTTGCTGAATATATATGCATTTAACATGCTGGTTTCTCCCCTTGGAGTTTAAATCCTAATTGTTGTGGATTTGTTCCTTATTACCCCCACCCAGCGGGGATTGTTTTCCCGACTGACCGTGGTGGTGTCTCTGGTCTTGGTTGCATACCTTTGGACCAGTTCGGTAGTTTGCTTGCCTGTTCCCGCTGTCACTCTCTTTACTGGATGGTGTGACTATTTTCTTTTTCTCTTCTTTCTGTTTCTTTCCACTCCTCAGCCATCCCCTCCTTCCCCCCTTCTCCTTTCCCCTCCCTTTTTTTTTGGGTGACTGCTGCTAGGGGGGATTGAGAATGCCAGTCCCTTTCTGTAGAGGGAACTTTGGATGGTCTACACTCCTTTCACCCTATGTGAAGGACTACACATTCTTTTCCCCACCTCACCAGAAATATCCGCGCATAGATTACCTCTTTCTGTCCCAGGCTGATCCACATTACGTGATGTCTGCTACCATAGAACCTATGATTCTTTTGGACCACCACCCTATCTCTATGACTTTGCCGTTTTCAGAAAGAGAATTCAAAACAAAATGCTGACTCCTTTCTCCTCAGTGACCCCCTGCGGGTACAAACACTTCAGGCGAATCTCCAGTCTTTTTTTACTCTCAACGATATGCCCGACACATCTTCTTTGACTCAATGGGAGGCACATAAATGTGTGATCCGGGGAGAGCTTATAGCTATGCAGACAGCCCTCAAAAAAGAACATCAGCGTAAGCTTCAAGACCGCGTGTCAGAAATAACAAAACTTGAACATACACACAAGCTCTCCCTAGCACAGTCGACCTTGTCAAAGTTGATTCTACTCTGACAGGAGCTTAAGGAAGAGCTCGGCTGACGCACATGAAAAAATTATCTTTTGTCGCAAAAGCTTTTTTATGAACAAGGTAATAAGAGCTGCAGACTGTTAGCCAGGTCTTTGCGTGTGAATAGAGTGGTGCTCCTGATCCACTCTATTTTGTGATTAGGCGGGGATACTTCACCATGACTCGCAGGCGATTGCTCCAGCAGTATTATGAATTACTATACAATCTGCAGTCACCCCAGCCTTCCTTGGACGTGGTGGATACTAGACATAGGCACCTAGTGACTTTTCTGGCTAAACATGGCCTGCCGGCCTAATCCCAGAACAAGCCCAGAGCTTGGAGGCCCCTCTTTCCGCGGAGGAACTAGACCAAGTCCTGAAGCAAATGAAAGTGGGAAAGAGTCCTGGTCCAGATGGGCTATCAGTTCAATATTATGTTTTTTCACCCTGTCTTGACATCGCGTTTTCTGAAAGTGTTTAATTCCCTCAAGGACTCCCCTGCCGCCTCCCCTGCCTTTTTGGAGGCCCATATTACTCTCATTCCAAAACTGGGTAAGGAGGTTACACGAGTTGAGAGCTATAGACCAATATCTCTGATCAATGTGGGTATTAAACTGTATGCAAACATTTTGGCCTATAGGCTTTTACCCTTTCTCTCGGGGTGGATAGGATTGGACAAGGTGGGCTTTGTTCCAGGTAGGGAGGCAAGGGACAATACCATCAAGGCCCTTAATGTACATCATTGGCTAACGGTTAGACACCAGCAGGAATTTTTTCTTTCCCTAGACGCCAAAAAGGCATTCGATAGAATAGCCTGGGACTACATGGAGCTGACTCTGCATTTCTTGGGTTTAAGTGATCAGTTTTGGGAATAATGTCCCTGTATGCATCACCTCAGGCTAGAGTGTGCTCCAATGGTCACCTATCGGATTCCTTTCACATATGCAATGGCACAAGACAGGGATGTCCGCTTTCACTGATCCTTTTTATACTCACCTTGGAACCCTTCCTTTGGGCCCTTCGAGCCAACCCTTTGATACAGGGGGTCCGGATGCATAAGGGAGGTGAAACTGGCTGCATTCACAGATGACATATTGTTTCTAACTGAACCTCTCTCTGCCTTGCCAGAACTCCTACGGGCACTGGAGCATTTTCAGTCCCTGTCCAATTTATCCATTAATCATTCCAAATCCCATGCTCTTAACATATCTTTGCCAGATGATGAGGTGTCCTACTGTGTGTGCAACTTTCCTTTTACTTTGAAAAAAGATACGATAACATACCTAGGAATCCAACTACCTGCAGACCTGCGGAACTTGTATAAGTCTAATTTCCAAACACTCTTTTCCACCATTGTTGGGGACCTCAGCGAATGGGATCAATCCTGTTACTCATGGTTTGGCAGAGCAGCCATTCTTAAAATGAATGTACTGTCTCGCCTCTTATATGTCTTCGAAACTGTCCCTATAGCTATACCGCGGCTTTCTTCGCTTCCCTGCAATGCGCAATGCTTGAGTTGTTATGGCGAAAGAAATCTCAGACTCAACTACGCTCTGTTAATCATGCCCAAACATAAAGGTGGGCTGGGCCTCCCAGACCTTAAAAAAATATCACTGGGCTTGTCATTTGTCCAGGGTAGTCGATTGGTCCGTGCGTGACTAGTTTAAGGCTTACGTTTCGCTGAAACAACTATTTTCCGAGACGCCCCTTTACGCTTTACCTTGGATAACCTCTGCGCAAACCCATCGGGGTGAAAAACCCACCGGCTGTTGTGGCCAACTCTAACATTTTTTTCAGACCTGTAAACTTTATTCTATTTCATCACTCCCTGGGCCACTTACGCCTTTGCGATTTAATCTGGACTTCCCTCCTGGTGTCTCTGGGACTTTCCTACAGGGGATCTGGCTCAGGAGAACATTAAGGGCTCTCAACTTTTTTGATAGGGGGCGGTTTAGGGACCGCATGGCTTTTCTTATGCAACATCCTGATAACCAATGCCCTTTTGGGCCTACTTTCAAGTCAGACATTTTCTTAATGCTCCTTTGACCCGAACCAACTATGCCCGTTCTAGGACAGCCTTTGAAATTGCCTGCTCTTCAAAGCGACCTCAGGCTCACATGATATCTTCTATTTATCTGTCCCTTTTCCCTGACAAGCCTCCTTCAGGTGCTACCGCTTGTTCTAAATGGGATCTGAATATTACCTTTACCGCGGAAGACTGGGAGGACGTCTGTCTTTACACACACAAAGGCACACTGAATGTCAATAATCAGGAGAATGGTTAGAAGCTGCAATCTCGATGGTACCATACCCCAACTGTGGTCCACAAGTTCTGCCCAGCAGTACCTGATCAATGTTGATGGTGTAACTCAGCATAGGGAACACTGCTACATATTTGGTGGCAGTGTCCAGTTATAATGAACTTCTGGAAGGATGTCCATCGTATTACCACCACTGTGACTGGAACCCCTCTAGAGTATACACCTGCGCAGTTTTTGCTACACCACTTTGGGTTATCTAAACGATCCTACATCAAGTCCCTAGCGATGTACATGATAAATGCTGCTAGATTGTGTATCCCTGTCCACCATGGTGGTGGAGTGGCTCAGGTGCACTGATAAAATTTAAGGCCATGGAGGAACTGATACATGTCTCATGGGAGAGGATCACAGACTTTCATAAGACATGGATGTGTTGACTTCAGTATCAAACTCAAAATTATTATATCAACCTTCTCCAATCTGAGGGGTGAACGTATAGCTTTAACTCACCCAGAAGGGGTCTTCCTGGTAGACCTGTGGGAGGTGGTGAGGACCTTTGGTTTTTACCTGGGGTTGTGTTGTGTGGACGTGTCCCCTCCCCCCTGGTTAGCGGAACCCTTTCTTTCCATAGTTCCATCTTTTCCCCCTTCCCTCCTTTTTCCTATTTTCATTCCTCTCTTCTTCCATTTCTGCTATATCTCTACCTCCCTTTCATTCCCTTTCCCTTCCCCCTTCCCCCTCCACCCTTTTTTCTTTTTTCCTCACTTTCTTTTTCTATCCCTTTTCTTTATCTGTTTTTCCGTTCTTCCTTTCTTTCTTTTCCTTTTTGTTCACATCTCAATTTACCTAGCTATTTTTAGTCTTTTTCTCTTGCTTGACATGGCTTTATCCCACTGCTACATTATTTTGGCTCCAAATTGACAGGTAATTAGTTGGCCCTGTGGGGAGGTGTCTTAGTCATCTATCTGCACCCCATATACTGCTAACAGACCCTTCCCACAATGTACATACAGTTCATTACACATCCATCATAGGGGCACGTATGCTCCTTTTATGACCCTGTTGTATCACTGTTGGAGGCTTCTGCTGGAGGTTCTCAAGCCTCTGAATTGACACTGTTTAAGCTATTATGTTATATGGTTTTGCAACTGTCTTGATGGTGGTGCCCCTTTTTGTTTTGTCTTGTTTAGATTTGATTTGTAACATCTCTGCCTGATTGGATGTGTATATTACCGTATACCTGTACCAAGTAATACTTGTTAATAATACTCTTTTGTGGAAAAAAAAATACACTAAAATCATTTTACACTAAAACACAGTTTACTATGCTTCAGTGATGAATGAACACGAGTGAGTCAGGATTCAAAGTTCATTCGGGAAGGGGTTGGTAAACATGACATTTTTACCAATCTCCCTGCTTTCCATCCTGATACCGAACTTACCAATCTCATGCCCCAGCAGGAGCTGCAGCCAGCAGGAGAGGGAGAAAGGGAAGCCAGCCAGCAGTGGCTGGAAGGCGGGAGCAGGCGATCAGTGCTTCTGGGGGGTGGCATTACAGATTGGAGAGCCATGGGGGGAATATATTTGGAGAGTTTGATATCCCCTAAGGCTCCCATGCAGTAGCTGAAGCCAGCAGGAAGGGGAGGAGAGAAGCCGGCCAGCAGTGGGCTTGGGGGTCAGGGCCAAGGGTGCGGCCAGTATGGAGGGGGTTGGAGCAGCTGAGGTCATCTATTTGCAGAATTAAATCCCCTTTTGTCTCCTCTTCAGCACCCAAACCTGAAGGGAGGGGAGAGGAAAAGAAGCTGACGGCTGCATGGGAGACACAGGGCAAAGCAGAGGCTGTGTTGGTGAAGGGGGGGGGGTCACATTTTAGGTAAATAGCTGTAATCTACAGCTTGGCAGCCACTAATCACATCAATTGATTTGTTCAGCAGAGTCTGCTGAACAGTTCTGTTATAAGGAATGCCATGTCAGTACAGCGTAATGACCTAGACAGCTGGAAGCAGATCTGTAGGTCAATATGCCTTACTGACCTGGCAGCAAAAGGGTTCAAATGGCTGCATAGAGATATTGGGTAAGCTCTGTATACGGCTTCTAGTTAAAATGAAAATAGCAGATTTTGAGAAACGATGTAGATACATGCCATAATCGATCTTTTAACATGCCAAGGATATTTTTTTTACGAAATGTATAAGATTTGATTGAAGTTCCTCTTGAAGTAATTGGAAACAAAAATACAAACCCACCCACACCATTGTAAATATGCTCTTAACCATTTGAATGTGAAAATCTGTAAGATGTCATTTGTAAACCACTGTCTGGTAAGATTGTGGATGGTGCATATGTGCCACCTAGGTTTCTCACCTATACATGGTGAGGGGCCCTAGGGTTGACTGATTTCCAGTAAACAAACTTGTCTTCTCAGAATCTTAATAAGATGCTAAACATAAAACATATTTTATGTCTAATTTATACTGGGGGGACACTAAAGGGTGTATAGTTTTTAAACTGACCAATTATATGTTCTCTTCTACAAGCATTGTCTGCCTCCCCACTGAAATTTAAAGGTACAGCTGACGGATTTAAGATCTACAGCGATGTGAAATATTTCATGGAGAGCATGAATCCTGTGTGGCACCACAAGTATGTTGATCGTTATTCATATAACTATTACAATTAACAGTCCACTCATAGAAGTGTACATTAATAAAGTGGAACTTTAGTCAGAAAATTAAGTCCTGCTAGATCACTTCATGCTGGTCCCTTTTTCAAGTATAGCTTAAAATCCAGTAATACACCGTCTGACCCCACTCAGTTGCTCTATATTTTTTGTCACAATGCTCAAAATGCTTTGTTGACAGCCTAAAGATTTACTGCTGTTCAGGGGCTCTGGGCTTCACCAAAATGGCAGCCTCTGGCAAGAAAAAAAAGGAGCAATGCTGAAGGCAATTTACAGCACATACTAATTTTAGTAGCATAATTAACGTGGAATGTACATTCCTTGCTAAAGAACATTATTTTTTATCAAGTTGTTATGTGTAAAGTTCCGCTTTAAGCACAGAGTACACATTATGGTAGAACTCTCTGTCCTTCATATATAAAAATGATCTCAAAGGAGAGTTCCTATTACAGAAAATAAGATAATAACAACAGACAACCTCAGATTCTTTGTAATTGGAAACTTTTTGCTTCAGATAACATGAAGGTAGATACTGTTTATACCTGATGTCCTTTTCTGTAGAAGGGCATTTAGTATTTTGATTTCCAGGGAAAATAGTTTTTTTTTTTGTTAAAGCCAACCTGTAATCACCTAGCAATTCACTAAAAATGCCAGAAGATAACAGCTAATTTGCAACCTCGGGTTTCTTGTTAGTTTCAGGGCTGTGAATTAGCTATAGAATTGTATACAATGCTGGGACAAGGTCATCCTTTGTCTAGGGAAAGGATGCCAAAGTGCAACCCCCCCCCCCCCCAACCATTCATGATGTGCAGGCTTAAGGGATCCTATACCCAGGCATGTCAAAATCTCTGCCGCTGTCAATACTCCTTTCAGCCTTGTAATAGAAGGAAGGCACCCCCATTCCTACAGAAGGCCTATGGTGCCCAGGGCAGCTGCCCTCCCCACCCACCCCTGATTGTACTGTAACTGATGGGACTATCGAGGAACTAGGATGCTTCCTAGGGGCATGAGGAGTGTTGTAGTCATATGCTTCATGATTTGGAGGACTGATTTATCTATCAATAGTAGTTGGACTATTTTGATTATGTGTTACAAAAAATGCCATTATATCATCTGAAAAACATCCACAGTTCATTAACATTTAAAGAAAACTCATGTCCTTATTTGTTGCTTACAGAGATAAAAAATTAAGCAGTACAGATCGACTTAAATCAGGGAGCACAATGCAGGTTTGGCTGCACATTACAAATCCTACAGATTCGGATCGGGGCCTGTACACGCTGGAACTGTTTGATGGCAAGGACATTCATAAGCGAACTCTTGACCTGAGTGGTAAAGGTAATATCAGCTAATTTACTTCCTAAATATTTAGGTTGTAAACTTCCAGTTGCTATTTGGAGAAAGAGTTTCAGCTCTTGGGATGTGATTTAAAAGATACCTATATTCAAGAACCAATATTTCATTTATCGCAACTTACCATCTGTTAGATGTGGTCACTGAATTAGTTTTCTCTTTTCAGAAATATTGAGGTTGATTTACTAAAATTGGAAAGTGCAAAATCTGGAGCAGTTCTGCATAGAAATAAGTCAGCTTCCAAGTTTTTGATTTGTCAGAGCTTAATTGAACAAGCTGAAGATAGAAGCTAATTGGCTACTATATACAGCTGCACCAAATTTTGCACTCTCCAGTTTTAGTAAACTAACCCCATTGCCAGCAAGTACCAAAATTCCCAATGATTTTGCCATAATGCAGTGTCCTTGTCACTTCCCATAAGCTGAACTGAAAACACAAACAACCTTACCTTTTGCCCATAAACTACTAATGTCCTACCCTGAATAATATGAAAAGGTAGAGAAGGCTTTGTAGTCCAGCCTGGGTAACAGCCAGGGCTGCCTGCAAAGATATAATGGAGTGAGTGTAGCAATCCAGAGACAAGAAGTGTGTTATTTTCAGGATCACTAAGTAAAAATAATGGGGAAAACCTTGAAAAATTAAAACTAATGCAAACACCTCATCGAAGGACTGGTAAGCTGCCAAATTTTGAATGTGTTGCACATATTAGCGTTAATTTGTAAAGCATAACAAATCCAGTATTTTACTTCCAAGCTCCCATTTTCTGATTTTAACAATAACATTTTTAATCAACTATACAATTTATTGCATGGATCTGTCGGATATCCCTTGTATAAATTATTGATATTTGTATGTAGTCTATATGTAAAAGTCAAATCTCAAAAACTATCGCATGGGATTTACAGTAGCTACCAAAAATGCCACTATCTTCCAGCTGGTGTTGTAACCGTACTCAAGCCCATACTGGCCTTTCACTTCCTATTTTGTGTGACACCCTTTTCCTGGACCAAAAAATTCAGGGGAATCACCCTAACAGGAACACAGATTGCAATAAAAATCTGACAGAGACTCCAGTCTAAACCCAGTGTGCTATAAAAAAAAAGACCTGAAGGTTTTGTGCCAATATTGACTGGTATTTGGAACTGTTCATAATTCCCTCTACCTTGACTAAGGCCCCAGTTCCAGCTGACGAAAAACAGCCCCAAACCATGATTCTGCCACCACCATGCTTCACTGTGGGTATAGTTGTTCTTTTGGTGATGTGCAGTGTTGTTTTTGTGTCAAACATATCTTTTGGAATTATGGCCAAAATGTTTAACCTTGGTTTCATCAGACCATAACACATTTTCCCACATGCTTTTGGGAGACTTCAGATGCATTTTTGCAAGATTTAGCCAGGCTTGGATGTTTTTCTTGATAAGAAAATGCTTCCGTCTTGCCACTCTACCCCATAGCCCAGACATATGAAGAATATGGGAGATTGTTGTCACATGTGCCACACAGCCAGTACTTGCCAGATATTCCTGCAGCTCCTTTAATGTTGCTGTAGGCCTCTTGGCAGCCTCCCAGGCCAGTTTTTTATGTCACTATTGCGCCATATTTTCTCCACTTGATGATGACTGTCTTCACTGTGTTCCATGGTATACCTAATTCCTTGGAAATTCTTTTGTACCCTTCTCATGACTGATACCTTTTAACAATGAGATCCCTCTGATGCTTTGGAAGCTCTCTGCAAACCATGTCTTTTGCTGTAGGATGCAACTAAGAAAATGTCAGGAAAGACTTACTATAACAGCTGAACTTTATTTGGGGTTATTCAGAGGCACTTTAAATGATGGCAGGTGTGTACTGACTCCTATTTAACATGATTTTGAATGTGATTGCTTCATTCTGAACACAGCTACATCCCCAGTTATAAGAGGGTGTGCACACTTATGCAACCACATTATTTTATTTTTTTATGTTTACTTCCCCCCTAAAAGATTTTAGTTTGTTTTTCAATTGAGTTGTACCATGTATAGGTCACATTAAAGGTGGAAATTATTTATCTTTTTCTCATTTTTTTACATCACAGAAACCTGACATTTTAACAGGGGTGTGTAGACTTTTTATATCCACTGTATCTGAGTTTTAAATAAGAAAGATCCACTTGCATACTCCCTAAGAAGCTTCTAGTCATTGACACTCTGGGGTTGGTTTACTAAAACTGATGGAGTGCAAAATCAGGTAAAGCTCTGCACAGAAATCAGTCAGCTTCCAGGTTTTTTTTTTCAAAACTTAATTGAATAAGCTGAAGTTAGAAGCTGATTGGTTACAATGCACAATGTCACCAGATTTTGCACTCTCCAGTTTTAGTAATTCAACCCCTTAAACCCCCTTTACACTAGGTTCCAATTTTATGGATTTAATGTAGTGCAAAGTGTAGCGATGTTCTTTTTCCACGTGAGACATCTGCATTTTTGTTAATTTAGATCATTAAATGAATACAATTTAATGTGTCATTTGTTCCAGTATACCTTTATCAAGTTCAAGTACATCTTTATCTGTAGGCACTATATGAATCAAGATCCAATGTTTACCTGTACTCTTTCACATATATTTACATTATATCCATTTTAACAGAAATGCAATAATGTTTTACTATTGCAAAGGTAAAAATTACATTTATAATTATTTTATCCTTTTTATATACTTGTGTTTTTTTTTTTTTTTTAGTATTTGATGATTTAATGGCAGAACAAGAGAAATGCAAGTAAGTATTTACAATATATAGTTACACCTGGTTTATTAAAAAAAAACTCTATTCAAACACCTAAACTTACAATACATATACTGTACATTTAATAGTAATGACTGAACCTGCTTGGGTTCAATTTGTGGGTGTGTTTGGCAAACAGAAAACTATCTTCAAATTGCGAGCTATATTGGAAGCCCTATTAAAGTCAATAGGAGGTGAATCTTGAAAATCTTCAAAATCACCCCCCCATCCCCAAACCATACCAGACCACATGCCTTCAACATGAGGAGAGTATCTTGGTAGGGACTACCTTGGCAAAAAACCTTGTCCCTCTGAGCCTTTTCCTCACATCCCTGGCCCGGTGGATGTGGGGATCTGCAGGGGGATCACAAACTCGAACTTCATCAATAATATATATATATATATATATATATATATACACACACACACACACACACACACACACACACACACACTCCACAGACAGGACCATCATATTCCATCCTGGTTTGAGTTTACTACTTCTTGGTACAATACAAAGCACATTGTGACCACAGACATTAAATGCTAAGAAACAACATAATCTTCAACAATTCTTAAGCCTACTTACTATTATGTTACAACTCCAAATCTTTATTCATCCATAGTAATTGAATATACATGTAAGAACTTCATAAAAAAAAACATTATCAAGTAGAAGCTAAACACTTCCTTTTTAATAAGATGTTTCTGTAAAAATATATGTTATTCATTCTGTGTAGCAGCATGTAAAACAAGAATTATAATATGTTATTTTCTTTTTTTCCAGGGAAGAAGAAATAATAGAAAAAAGTAAGTGAAAATTAGCATTTTATATAAAAAAAGCCCTCCCAACATGCATGCGCAACTGTATTCCTAGTAGAAAAAAAAGTTACTTACTACATTACTTTACCATGCAGTGACTATAATGGTTTGTTGTACAATTTAAATGTCATAGTGTTACTTAGAAATATAGAAGACTGCAGAAAAAGACTAAGTGGTACATGAGGTCTTCCCTTTTTTTTTATTTGGGTTGTTTTTTTAACCTTTTTGTCAGAGTATTGCTCTATGCATGTTTAACTTCCTCCATTATTGTACTCAGAGGAGTTTTTTTCCCTAAATACATTATTTTGCATTTAGAAACATTGCACTGTAGCTTCCACTCATTTGACCAATTTTCCTGAATGCCAAATCATGTTCCATGTTACAAACACCTCCTGGAATATTAACCCTATTGTACACCTTTTTGTCCTCAGCAAAAAGACATACCTTGCCCACCAACCCTTTTTATAGCACTTACAAACAGATTAAATAGAACAGGACCTTGTGGTACACCATTAGTGACCAATCTCTGTTCCATATGAACCCTATTTACAACCACACTCTGATAGCCAAATGAGCCAGCCAAATATTAACAACATTTTCTGCAATCAAATGCTTTGTTGAAATCAGGATAGGCTAGGCCCACATATCACCCTGGTCCAAACCATTTGTGATATAGTTGAAACTCTCATTCTGATTAGTTTTACATGATCTGTCCTCAGTTATGCCATGCTGAAGACAGGTCCAGCAGGTTGTGTATATTTAAATGATCATTGATCCTTCTTTTTAGGAATGACTCCATTAATTCTACTACTAAAAAGTTAAACTCACTAGCCTGTAGTGGCCAGCTTCTTCCTTCCTCTACGTATTGTAGATTTGTACAATATTAGTTGGCCACCAGTCATAAGAAACTTCCTGTTAGGAGAGATTTGTTAAAATGATTGGTTCAACAACTATAGCTCAAAGTTCTCTTAGAACTCTGGGATGAATACCATATGAACACATTTCCTTATTAAGCTTTAAAGTGGTTGTAAACCCCTCCATGTACTGGCTTCAGGTAATACACAGAGATGAAAAAAATCATCCTACGTTAATTGCACCTGTCTATCTACAATCTTCTCTTCTCTACATCTGTTCAAAGTGCTGAATTCATAAAGCTTGTCTGAGAGTTCATTAAAAAAAGGAGGCAGAGCCCTGCCCCTTACTAGTTATGACCCCTTATAATTACTGCCTGTGCTAGCCCTGGATCCGTGACTCTTCTAGTCTCCCTTTCCTCTATGTTTTCTTTCTGACTCCTTTTTTTTTTTTTTCTTCTAACCTTTTTTTCTTTCCTCTTCTCTTTATGGTATTATGTTGGACTACTGCTGATAATATTTGGTTCGGCTGTTTACCGTCCTTCCTTGCTGTTATTGGACATTTTATTATTTGGCTGATACAAGTCAGCAGGATGTACCTGTTCCTGAGTTATTGTTATGCTCGGCCCCTGTGTGGGTGTATATTGCACTTGTTGTGTTCATAAAATAAAACTTTCTTAATAAAAATATTGAAACAGAAAAGGAGGCAGAGAGCTGACACCACACTCTGCAGAGCTCAGCGACCTGTCACCATTTTTTTCTTGGTGTCAGGAAAATGTGTTAGAAATTATTCATGCAGATAGCAGAGGAATGAAGCTGCAAACAGAAAAGGCACTTAGTGCTCTTAACTGAGACAAGTACACACTATAAGGGGATATGTGCAAGTGTTCATAAATCCGTAATAGAAGGATAACCGTGACTCTTGTGCTCTTGAGAGTGTACAAACATTGCACTAACCAGAGAGCGCATTAGCTGCGCGTGGAGCAATTAAGACCTGCTCCTGGTGCTCTGGACTTGAAATGCCAGGAAGATGTCATCAGCGTGTAGGCCACTAGATGTCATCAGTCTAGGTGTACTCCTAAACCTTCCACTATGCTGATCATCAGCGGGGGAGGGAGAGGTCACACACCAATCCAGGTCATCAGGAACCTTTAAAAGTGGACTCCCATGGAAATGATGAGCCCAGAGAGAACTTCCAATAGTGTAGTAGGTCTTTAATTAGCAAAATTCCAGCATATACAGAATGAAAACAAAACTTACATCCGGATCTGATATGGCCACCAAGGAGTCAATCAGGATGGCCTTGCGGTATATGTACAAAGGTCAGGGGCACATTCCTAATGCGTTTCGTGTGAAAACACTTCCTCAGAGGGACTCTTGCACATAATCACTTTGCTTTACCACTATGTATGGACTGAGTTGCTGAATTATGATATTGTGCAATTTCTGATTTATTTGATTCTTCAACTGATTTTATATTTTTATTGGCGCTGCATACATATTTTATATTTCTTATACTGGGTCTTAGAGGTTGCCGTTATGCTAGCAGCTTGATATTATTGTTCCCAGCGCTCAATTACCACTTTTATATAAGGGGATATGCTTTGTCCATATTTCATGTCTGGGGTTTAAAACCACATTAAACAAGCACTGTGATTGGGATAATCTTGAGACCTATACATTGCTAAACATAGTAGTAAATTTAAAATAAGATGTGGGATTGTGTGGCATTTTTTGCCAAAGTGTAGGTATATATGCATGAATTAAAATAATCAGACATAGAAATATGCTGAACATAGCAAGATGGAGATTAATACATCAAGCAACAATTATATAAACATTGATATAAATGAACCATAGAAAGGCAGAGTAGAGTTATACAGTTGTGTTTCCGTAAGGATCACCATAAAAATCATAGGGGTTCCCTGGTGTCACAAGTCCTCCTCTAGTTACTCTCATTTAGGGTCTCTTCACACAAATATATATATGTTTCATGTGTACATTAGGTGCACAATAATGGCATTGTGCATTGTGTTGCCATTCAGTATATACTATACGTCACTCCAACACACATATGCAGTGTAAAAATACTCACTGCCTTCAGCACACCACAACACAGATGCAAATGCACTGTACACTGCAATGTGCTGCGTTTGCCAAAAATATTTCCAGTATGTTTTTCCAAGAATTATGGGCTGTTAAGGTCCAATGTAAAGTTAGGAGTTTTTGAAAGCAACACTCATCAATGCACAAAAAAAGCCAGAAACATGCACAGAGATGTGAAGGGGCCCTGAAAGAGAAATTGCCTTTAACTTTCTGTGTTGGATTATTATTAAAGTGTTACTAAACCCACAACAGTAAAATCAGTCTGTAAATGCAGCAAAACATGCTTGATATACTCACTGTGGAACCTAAGGGGTTATTCCTCTACATTGTGTAAAAAGGCTGTTTAATCCTGTCTTCTCTGATCCTCCCCTTCTTCTATTATCCCCAATCCATCTTCTGATCGTACAGAGCCCTAGGAGTCACTCTGCACATGCTCAGTTTAGTGTGTATTGCTAGAGAGGTTTTTGTTTTGTTCTTTGGGAGGGTGCATGTGATCAGCACAGGGCCAATCAGCATTGTCCAGAAAGAGGGTCAGGGGTTATGCAGCCTCATAGGACAGTCAGAGAAGAATGAAAACTCCTCCTACAAGCTTTAACCAGCGCTCGGCTGGACACTGATAGAAGTCACAAAGCTGCTCTAACTCCTGATGAGAAAAGGTATTTAGCAGTTTATATTTACTAAAATAATTGCATTTCCATGTTCTGTGTACTGAGAGACTGGATATAGTGAATACAGGGTCCTGGATTTAGTAACATTTTGTTTATTTTTTCCAATCTAGCCCTCATTATTTCTTTGATCTTCTGCTTATCAGAGATTCAAATGTCATGTAAACTGATATCAATGATGGTCACCTTGTCAAGCAATTTGCACTAGAGCTGCTATCAGTTTCAAGTTCATTAGGACATGTACAGTACCACCTTGTACTAGGGTAAAACATCAACTTAGTGCCAAGAGAAGTATCTCAGGGAGCGGATTCTTGCTTGAGAAAGAAACACTGGTGTGGACCAGTGGCTCCAAACTGCAGCCCAGGGGCCGCACCAACAATGGGGTATAATTCCCCCCCATTGACACCAACAGAGGGGCACAATTTCCTCCCAATGACATAGATGGGGGATAATTCCTCCTAATGACACCAATAATGGGGCACAATTCCTTCCAATGACACCAAAGATGGGGCATTGTTTACTCCCACTGATGCTGGAACATTGTCTACTCCCAATGGCCACAGTCTGGCCCTCCTAAAGTCAGAAGCACCATAAACTGGCCCTTTTTTTTTAGAAAGTTTGGAGACCCTTGGTGTAGACCAATCATGCAGACAACACACACTACAGATCTCACAATTAAATATAACAGAGAATAGCAGAGGTGTCACTGTGCACAATCTCTACTGCCCATCACCCAGGCCCACCACATGAGTACATGTAGGATCCAGTATTTTGATCTCAGGAGAATGGTGAGTTCATGCCTGCTCTGGTCATCTGTATGTTTATGATACTTTCAGATCGAGCTAAAGTGGTCCGAGGCCTTCCAGATCTGGCAACAATAATGGTAGACAAGGTAGGTTTATTAATTGTCATTGCCTTTTAGTGCATAAATGCCATAATATATATTGTCATGAAGGTTGTTTTGATAATGAATGGATGATAACACTATACACAGAATCTGAAATATCAATATAAAGCTAAGCTTTTCTTGTGAATTAATAAAAAATGCATTTCATTTGACTGAGAGTGAAAGGCAGCATTGCAAAGAGCATTCAGCCAATATAACTTTTTTTTTTTTTTTTTTTACATATGTAGCACCCATCTAGTTTAGCTAGCGGGAACTAGATCCTAATGGTTAGACAGGAGCTGGTTAGCAGCTCAGGTGTAATAGCCAGAGGGGCAAATTGTGGTCAGGGCTGAGAGACTCTGCAGGCCAGACCCTCTGGAATTTCCCCCTGCTCTGAGGATTTCAGAGAAGGGCCTTGGGGGCAGTGGGTGGATTTGAGGAATGGCTGGCTGCACTTTTGAGGGACCTCAGCCAATCTCCAACTGAAGGCATGGCAAGGGTCTGGAACTCCCATAAAAGTGTAGGAGCCTGCTCAGTGGCAGAAGTGTTTTGGACTGCCAGGAGATCTAGTGAGATGCGGCGTGCCTGTGAGCCTGGAGCTGGATAGGAGAAAAACTCGGGACCCACAGGCCCCCTGAGCAAGGACCACTATGTGGCAGGGAAGGAGCGGCTCAGCTGAAACCATCCCACAGGTACAGGAGAGGATCTGAGTGAGCCCACTTGCACCCCCTGGGCGGATAGGGGAAGGAGCACTCTGGTGGGAAACCAGATTAGCCCCCTACTAGTGACTGTTCATCTCATTCATTTAAAGGAACAGGAGCCAGATCCCCTGCTCAGGAAGAAAGTCTCCAGATTGTTGGGTGAAGAGGAGTTCATCTAGGGTCTGTAGTGGTACAACTAGAAGATGCTGGCTAGCACTCCAGCAGAGACTGCATCAGAGAAGAGAAGCTTGTGAATAGTTCAGGAAGTTGTCCTCAGATTTCAATTCCCTTGGGCATCCTATTCCCCCTTTACCCTATCCAAGTTCTAATCCCCTCAATAAAATAACAAAACCAATGCTCAAGGACTGATTTCTTTCTGTTTCTGGATTAAAGCTTGTATGGAAAATGTTGAACGACTGGCTGTACAGGACTGTAGGGGGACCCAATTCATCAGCAATCCCTAAGGGGGTAGTACTACCCACATAACATACTTCTACCATTATAAATCACACATTTAGGGGTCTATATATAAAGCGTTCTGTTACAGCATACTCTGTCAGTTTATAACATCAGCATTGTAATAGCAATACAAACAATAGTTGTATTTGACAATTCAATATAATCTTACTTTAAAAACCTCCTTTCATGTTGTGAGTTCTGCCTGTTCCATAACTTCTGTTTCCTCCTGCTTTGCGGCATCTCCTCTGCTTATTCCTTTGGTTTACATTTGAATTTTAAAGACTACATATCCCATGGTACCTTGCTGTCGGCAAGCAGTGATTCCTGTACTGACTCCCCCTCCTTAAACTCCTCCTCTCGGCTCCCCTGTAGTTCAGAAGGCAGGCTCTGTGAAATGTGTGACACAGCAGTGTATACACACAGAGCATAACAAATGTTGTGGGGATTCTTCACAAAGTAAGTTTACAAACTTCAAGATTATTCAGATTAGACAAAGTAGACTTTCAGCAGTTTATTTAATCACTTACTGAGTATGCAGCTTCTTTATCCTTAAATAATTGCCTGTGTTCTAGTTTAAGAGTGGCTTTGTTCACTTTCAGCATCCTATGGAGTTACCCTTGCATGCAGGGACTAGAGCACACATCACTGTAGCCTAGGATTGCAAGCCACTCCGTTGCTCCTCCCCCTGCTTTTCCCCCCTCCCTTCATCAAGCTTATAGACTGGCACTGTCAAATGTGACCTCTTTCCTGTGAAGACTTGATGTTCAGGGAAGCAGCACTAAGAGAGCAGGAGCCAGCAGCATTGAAAGCGGTGTGCAGTAAGTGGTGGGGAAAGAACTGTAACAAATTGTTTACTGGAGAATGTTTATTTTATTATGCTGAAAGTGTTAAGCTAAAAAAAAACACTGCTTTAAGCATTTGGGCTTTGTTCTGTCTCTCCAATCTAAGCATTGAAAGTGTGATCTCTGTAACTTACAGTTGTGATGAGATAGCGATAACTCCAATCTTAGTTGAATAACACAGTCATTGACTCCATACAGAAGACATCTTGTAGATCTTGTGAAGTTTATTCCATAAACTGAGAGAATCTTACAACAATGAACATCTGATAGGTCAAAAGATCATAATGTGATCCATTGGAAAGGGAGGAGCAGAGACAAAATATAGAGAACACTTAAATGCATATGACAGTCATGTGAAACATGACAGGCATGATTAATGCTTGGTGTATTGTTTGTAACATGATTATCTCCTTTGATCCTCAGCGCCATCTAGTGGTCATAATGCAGTATTTTCTGGAAATACGTCAATTAAATATACTGCACTGTGTCTAATTAATGGAGCTGACAATCATAGGAGACAATTGTATTACAAACTATGGCAGACATTTATAGAGAACATTTTATACATAGACCGCTGTTTTATATGTAAACCATTTCTGTAGAAAATTATTTTCATTTGAGCTTGTGGGGTATATTGCTTGACGTGAGGGGTATATTGCTTTCCTCTTCTCCCAGTTTGTCCCTACCTTTAACCTGCTTTCTTATTTCTGGTGGTAAATTCATATGCTTGCCAGTCATTTGATTTCAGTAAGCAATTCTCCGTGATTAAAAAATATATAAAGGGTGTAGCGCTGTAAATATATAAAAATTCAAAAGTATGCCAATATGTCCACATATAATGATCATAAGCGCATGTGAGACCATAAACGAATATATAGTCTTATAGCAGAAGAAAGTGCAGCAGATGAACTTGTGACTCCAGCCAACAGTGAAAAATGCCCACTCACCGGAAGCGCATAGATAATGCGCATAAATATAAATCCTCGAGGTATACTGGTCAATCCGGTGAACTTTTTCCCATGTTGCAGTCATCAAGCCGTTAGGGAAGTATTTAAATCCACTGGTTCCAGAGGTCCTTCTTAAGATTAGTGAGGTGATCAGCCTGGATATGGGGCTCCTATTCCTCCGGATATGCTGGATACTAACAGGTACCTGTGGGCTTAATAGCTCCAGACAGGAGCCACAAAAAAGGTGCCCATAGTGTAGTAGACTAAATGACTTTATTGTAGTACCGCCGCATAAAACAGATAGGGTATAGTAATGAGCAGAAAATAACACTATACCGCCATTAAAATGGCCGCCCGGTCGGTTCTCCTCTCTGAAGTGCCATTGCACGAAAGGCCTCAGGAGGAACCAGACAGCACATTACACTACTGCCGTCTGGTCATAGCTGTTGTGAATAGCCTTGTACCATGTGACCTCTGTGATCATTCACAGATTTCACACGTAGTAAGCAATGATATCAGAAGTGACATCTTGCTTCCTACTCTGCATGTGATCACATGATCGGGACCTCGTACAGAGGTCCCGTACGAACGATCGGTGTTCCAGTGTGTCCGGAGGACACAGCAGGCATCGGATCACGGTGCTGCGCACTCCCAGGGAGCGCGCACAAGCAGGGGGCGGGGAGGCCATTTATAAACGGCCACCCAACCCTGCAGTGCCACCGTCCGGCCGTTTATATACAACGGCCGGAAGGGAGGTGGTTAAAGTGGAACTAAGCCCATCAATTTAACGGTTTTAAAAAAAAAACAGTTACATACCCTGCATGCCAGGAATGCTAACTGTCACATTTTCTTGTGTTCTCAACCAAACTGTCAACCCATTAAATGTTTGCTGTCATAACTGATCTTATGTGCAGCACCATGGCAGTTGCAGATCAAACAGAGGCTAAGATGGCAACTTCCTTGGCTGAAAACGATAGGAGGGTTTAGTTCCACTTTACATTACCAAGAACAGACTTGGCCACTAGAGATATCACGGAAAAGGTGCCCACCACCAGACATCCTCACACATTACTTTTGGTCTTTCCTTGTTTGTTAGACTGGAAAGAGCATGCATACACTTTTACCATTTTAACTACTTGCCCTCCGCCCTATAGCAGAAATACTGCTACAGGGCGACAGGGTTGCGCAAAATCAGGTATATATACATGATTTGCATTTCTGGGTAGGGGACGCGTACACCACCCTACCCACGCCACTATTGGAGGCTAGGGAAGTCAATCACCGGGTCCCAGGCTGGCAATTCCCGACCGGCACTTGGCAATCGTTGGCAAAGATGACAGGGGAGAGACCTGTGTGTAAACAATACAGGTCTCTCTCCTGTCAGCATGGACATGCTGTGTTGTATCTCTCTGCATAGCAGAGAGATACTAAACAGCATGTCTCCAAAGTAAAACACAACACAATGCACACCTGAAAAACATACACAGCACACTGTTAACCCTTTGATCGCCCCTGATGTTAACCCCTTCCTGCCCAGTTTTTTTTTTTTTCCTCAAAATTGTCGGTTTTTGTTTATAGTGCACAAATTAAAATATTCAGAGGTGACCAAGTACCACTGAAAGAAAGCTCTATTTGTGGGAAAAAAATGACATAAATGTCATTTATGTACATGACAGTAACACAGCGCTGTATCTCAAAAAATGGTCTGGTCAGGAAGGGGGGTAAATCCTCTGGAGGGCAAGTGGTTAATAGGTAGTGCAGCTGCAACAAGGCAGCTAAAAGGACATATAAGAGATATATTATATTTTAAACATGATGCAAAATATTACGTTTTTGGCATGCATTTACTTAGTAGAGTTCAATAGTCAAAAAATACTAGTGAAAATAGATTTTACATAAAAAGGACTGAAAAGGAACTGCGGTTGAGCTGCGATTTTACCACCCTCTATGATGCCCACCCAAACACAGCAATGCATCTGTACAGGACCATAACCATGCAAAGCAATCACTGCTGTTGCAAAAATGAAAACACGCGTCACATTTAGCAGGAAGTACCACTGGATGTGGTTGTCATGTGGTGGGTTGGCATTTTGAGGGTTAAAGCCGGCAGTGAGGAGGTGATATATCACCTTTCACTGCCTGTCAACGGGATCTATTGCTGGAAAAAAATAATCTGGTCGTGTGTAAGTTAGGTTGTAGGTTAGGTAGGTTAAGAGATGATTTTCCATAGTACACATTTACCCTTGAAAATGTTGAACCTGAATCCTTCATGTGACTTTTTATTTGCTTGTATTGCTAGACTTTGTGTTTGACATGTCACATATCTGGAGACCCTGCTCCTGAAGTCTGCTGGCTAAAGAATGAGAAGAAGAAAGTCATATTCAAAGATCGGTATAAACTTGAAGTGAAAGATACTGTGGTAACTATGACCATAGAGAAAATCTGTGCAGAAGATTCAGGCCGGTATTGTATAACTGTGAAAAATAAGTACGGATCAGAGGTTGGGCAGGTGACAGTAAGTGTATTTAAGCATGGTGAAGAGCCGGAAGAACTGAAGGACGTATTAGACATAACTGCAAATCTAGAGTCACTGATGACGCCATGAGAAGAAGGAGAAATCATAACACTTTATCCAAAACACATGTAAAGTCTGCAGAAAGATAAGAATTGAATAAAAAGATGAAAGCAATAAAAAAGGATTCTGTGTATATTTTGTGTGTGTTTTCATTTCTCTGTTTTTAGTATTCTCTGCTAACTTTACCCTTTAGCCTGGGATCACACTGATGTGGTGTGGCACATCGCATGTGATTTGCACAAGAAAAGCACCGCATTCCTGTGCAAATTACATGCAATTTCTGTGCGGTGCAATTTGAGCCATACATTTTGTATGGCTCAAAGTGCAGGACCCTTTTTAGTCCACATCAGAATCGGATCGCATGGGTGTTCACAACCATTCGATCCAACTCTGCACATCGCACCGTGTTTTGATTTCGGGGTGTCGTTAACTTAAAGTACATGCCTGCAGTGGTTCATATGAACGGGGTGCAATTATACGGTGTTGAATTTGCACGGAAACTGGTGCAAATTCCACACCGCATCAGTATACACCCAGGCTTACTGATAGAAATTGATGTTCAGTGCATTCACAAACCGCTTAGCTGTGGTTCACACTGATGTGAATTTGATGTGGTTGTGATGCTTTCCAGAATGCATATATTCCCACATCAAGGGAGATAACATGGCTTTCTATGGAGGTCAGTCATACCTATGCGTTCCAAACACAATGCAATTTCCAAAAGGGTCCTGTGCATGTTTGATGCAATGCATTTTTAAGCCCCATAGAAATGAATGGAAACAGCAGTGAAAATGCATAGTTGTTCAAAAGCAATATGATTTTTGTGTGAGATACACCTATTTCTAATATCACAAAATAGCCAGAACAGAAATTGCAGCTCTGCAAAATCATATCAGAGTTGCAGCAGAATCATTACAGAATTGCACTGCAACTGCTCCTGAAATTGCACTTGAAAACGCATAGAAATCGCACTGCATTAGTGTAAATTAGGGTTGAAAACCATCATCTTGTAAAAACAACCCGTTCGGTTTACAACAGAAATAGAAATGAAAAACAGAACACTTGTATATAGAAATAATAAAAAAACATTCTAAATACCATTTTTGTCTTTTTTATAAGTGACCACATACCCTCTGTTCTCAGATGTAAAATGATCCTAGTGAGCTGGGGAAGGAGAAACAGAATTACACTGATCTTCCCATTGAATGTCTGTGGAAGGGGGGCATGTCCGCAGAAGTCTGATCTAGCTGAGTTCTCAGCACAGCCAGAAAACTGACCACGATGTGCTCTCCTGCCTAGTGTGGTCAGTTTTTAATAGGAAAGCAGAGGGGCAGACGGGAACATCAGGTATATCACACAAAGGAAGCAAAAGCAGGCACATACAGTATCAGGAATATGAAATATTGGGTTAACATTTTCTGTGAGTGTATGTCTAGCCAAAACGTTTTTTTTAATAGAGTGGGGATGGATTGGAACCATTTGCCAGCTTTATTCGCTATCTGGTGAACAAACTTATGCTCTGGCTGACAATGAAATCAGGGACACAGACAGCAATGCATAGTTTACAGGGGTTCTTGCTTTCCCTACCCTACTTTAAAAAAGAAAATATTTATATCCGTGTTGCTGATGGAGATTTATCCTTATTTCCTGTCTGGCAAAACCATTGTCAGCTAGACAGTAAGTAAGGGTAAATCTTTCTAGTTGAGTCTTAGATGGCAATAAAACCAGACAGTGGTTCTAATCCTCAACACTCTCAAAACTGAAAAAAACAGCTTGGCTGGGTATGCACATTAATCCACTAAACCAACAATTTCAATATTTGCCATAGGGACAATTTTCAGCAGTGACAGAAAATGAGAACTACAAATAATAATGGCATGGATGAAAATCATCATCATGGCAAATAACTAAATGTGCAAACTCCACAATAATAAGATAAAAAAACATAAATCACATAAATGAATGAATATAAATATATAAGTGATAGATCTTTCAAGATCTAGAAAAACAGTGTCTCAAACTGTAACACATGTATGAATTGAGTCTATAGTATGAATGTAGTAAATGGTGTCAGAGGTAATAAAAGTGTATGCCTTTTTATTCTTTTTCATTCTGATACTATAGAGAGGTAAAATATACAATCATTAGCCTTCAAAGTACAGGTCAAAGGACAAAATTCACATTAAATTCTAGAAAAACACAATCAATTAAAACCCCTTTAGAGCAGAATTAAAGCTGTAAACAATTTAATTAAAAATGTGTAACAGAAATCTATACAAATACAAGTATCTATGAAAGTCTAAGCACAGAGCCTGTTTGCCGATATTAGTAGTACACTTCCCACATCAATCAGAACAGGCTCTGAATGGATACTTGCATTTGAAACTTTTGATTTTTTTTTTTTTGCTCTAGAGTTGTGGCCTTGTCATTCTCATAGCAATAGAGGTCAGTGAACTTTGTATGACACAAGCCAGGCCTGTAAGGTTAGTAACCTAGACTTCATTTAAAAGCCTGTAAGGTTGCATATCAGTTACCACTTCTTTGCTCTCTGTTGCATTTGTCATTGTCAGTTCTGCAAGGTTAGTAACCTGGGCATTATTCCTAAGCCTACAATTCTGTCTGAGTTACACAGATGGTCTATTTGTTGAATTCCCTTTTAACATTAAGGCAGCACAATGTCTAAATGGTTAGCACTTCACCTGGCAGCACTAGGGTTGTTGGTTCAAATCCCAGCCACAGCACCACCTGCCTGGAGATTGCATGTTCTCCCTGTGTCTGCATGGGTTTCCTCTGGGCACTCCAGTTTCTTCCCACACTCCAAAGACATGCTGGTAGGTTAATTGGATCCTGTCTATATTGGCCCTAGTATGTGTATGTATGAATGTGAGTTTAGGGACCTTGGATTGTATGCCCTTTGAGAGTTAGGGACTGATGTGAATGTACAATATATACAGTGGATATAAAAAAATCTACACACCCCTGTTAAAATGTTAGGTTTCTGTGATGTAAAAAAAAAATGAGACAAAGATAAATAATTTCAGAACTTTTTCCACCTTTAATGTGACCTATAAACTGTGCAGCTCAATTGAAAAACAAACTGAAATCTTTTAGGGGGGAGCAAAAATAAAAAACTAAAATAATGTGGTTGCATAAGTGTGCACACCCTCTTATAACTGGGGATGTAGCTGTGGTCAGAATAAAGCAATCACATTCAAAATCATGTTAAATGTTAGTCAGTACACACCTGCCATCATTTAAAGTGCCTCTGATTAACCCCAAATAAAGTTCAGCTGTTCTAGTAGGTATTTCCTGACATTTTCTTAGTCACATCCTACAGCAAAAACCATGGTCCACAGAGAGCTTCCAAAGCATCAGAGGGATCTCATTGCTAAAAGCTATCAGTCAGGAGAAGGGTAAAAAAAGAATTTCCAAGGCATTAGATATACCATGGAACACAATGAAGACAGTCATCATCAAGTGGAGAAAATATGGTGCAACAGTGACATTACCAAGAATTGGACGTCCCTCCAAAATTGGTGAAAATACGAGAGGAAAACTGGTCTGGGAGGCTGCCAAGAGGCCTACAGCAACATTAAAGGAGCTGCAGGAATATCTGGTAAGTACTGATTGTGTGGTACATCTAACAACAATCTCCAGTATTCTTCATATGTCTGGGCTATGGGGTAGAGTGACAAGACGGAAACCTTTTCTCATGAAGAAAAACATGCAACCCCGGCTAAATTTAGCAAAAACACATCTGAAGTCTATTAAAAGCTTGTGGGAAAATGTGTTCTGGTCTGATGAAACCAAGGTTAAACTTTTTGGCCATAATTCCAAAAGATATGTTTGGCGCAAACACAACATCACCAAAAGAACACCATACCCACAGTGAAGCATGGTGGTGGCAGCATCATGCTTTGGGGCTGTTTTTCTTCAGCTGGAACTGGGGCCTTAGTCAAGGTAGAGGGAATTATGAACAGTTCTAAATACCAGTCAATATTGGCACAAAACTTTCAGGCTTCTGCTAGAAAGCTGAACATGAAGAGCAACTTCATCTTTCAGCATGACAACGACCCAAAGCATACATCCAAATCAACAAAGGAATGGCTTCACCAGAAGAAGATTAAAGTTTTGGAATGGCCCAGACCTGAATCCGATCAAAAATCTATGGGGTGATCTGAAGAGGGTTGTGCACAGGAGATGTCCTTGCAATCTGACAGAGATTGGAGTGTTTTTGCAAGGAAGAATGGGCAAATATTGCCAAGTCAAGATGTACCATGCTGATAGACTGAGTGCTGTAATAAAATCAAAAGGTGCTTCAACAAAGTATTAGTTTAAGGGTGTGCACACTTATGCAACCATATTATTTTAGTTTTTTATTTTTTACTTCCCTTCAGGTAAAAGATTTCAGTTTGTTGTAACGTTTAAAGGGTTACATTGAAGGTGGAAAAAGTTCTGCAATGATTTATCATTGTGTCATTTTTTTACATCACAGAAACCTGATGTTTTAAAAGGGGTGTGTAGACTTTTTACATCCACTGTATATACCTTTTATCAATGAGATCCCTCTGATGCTTTGGAAGCTCTCTGCGGACCATGGTTTTTGCTGTAGGATGCAACTAAGAAAATGTCAGGAAAGACCTACTAGAACAGCTGAACTTTATTATGGGTTAATCAGAGGCACTTTAAATGATGGCAGGTGTGTACTGACTAACATTTAACATGATTTTGAATGTGATTGCTTTATTCTAACCACAGCTATATCCCCAGTTATAAAAGAGGGTGTGCACACTTATGCAACCACATTATTTTAGTTTTTTATGTTTACTCCCCCCCCCCCAAAAGATTTCAGTTTGTTTTTCATTTGAGTTGCACAGTTTATAGGTCACATTAAAGGTGGAAAAAGTTCTGAAATGATTTATCATTGTCTCATTTGTTTTACATCACAGAAACCTAAAGTTTTAAAAGGGGGTGTGTAGACTTTTTATATCCACTGTATATATGTAAAGCGCTGCATAAATTGACAGAGC